GTCACCTATATTTATAAAACAACAACATATTCTTACTTTTAACATGTAATCAGTTGTATGAATATATCATTTGTGTGAACCAAATGCTAAAACCCAATCGGTTCACCCAGTTGATAAAATACTGTATTAATGTTTGCAAATACAAGTGTTAATTTTTATTTATAAAATATATTACTGTATAACTAAATTATATTGAGAGACAAATACGTTAGAGATCGCTAACCGGCAAACCCTACCATTAATTGAAATTTCATTGTTATAAGTTAGATAGTAACTAAAACATTAAACATTTTTATATCAGTATTTTATTTTTAATAACAAGTATTTAAGTAACTTTGGTTAATGTGTCAAGTTAATCTCATAAATCAATACCATGGGCGGTCACCTCCAGGGCCGGCGGCACCGGTATATTATCGCACACAAACCCATCGGCCGGTAATATACAACTCTTATACACCGTCTCGTCAAACACCATACCCTCAGAGCACCGGTAAAACTCAACACCCATTTGAAAGCACCGGTAAAAGCGGTGGCAGTCATAGGGATTGCGATACAGAGCCTCACCACCAGTGCACCGGACAGTCCGCTCATACATTGCCAATAACTGATCATCAGTTTCACGTTCAGCATTAATCAAATGCAACGGGTTAATCGTCGCACCTTCGCTACCACCCGGTGCTTGTGTACTATTACCCAACTCCGGGCACCCGGTCTCGTACGGGTTGGCAACCCTACAGCCCGCCTGCCATACCATTTGTCGGCCCTCCGTATCCGACGGACAGTCGTATACCGTTAGCTTCAAGCCCTGGGCGGAGGGGGTGTTGTTATCATCGTTACGATAACACGTGTAGTAACGGTGACAGTCGTCCGGGTGGGCAAATATACCCTCCCTATCAGCACAGGACAAGGCTTTTACAGTCGGTGGTCGCCAAGTGGGCGGCAGTGGGTATGGGGTGACAGCCGGTAGCGGCTGTTGACGGCATATGTCAATCTCGGTTTGGCGCCGACAGGACGGCGGGTCGAGAGTCTGGTCCCATATCAGGCGATTGTGGGACTCGTCGAGAGGGCAGAGACCGTATTGGGTGTTGAGGGCGCCAATGGACGCCTCCTCAAAGGTCCAGCACCGGTAGTATTGGTGACAGTCGTATGGGTTGGCGTAGTAACCAATCTTATCAGCCCAACCATCGGCACCGCACTTGATATACTCTTCGTAGTGTATGGGTCCGGGTGTTGGGGTAGGGGTCGGAGTCTTGGTAGGGGTTGGTGTGACAGTAGTAGGGCCTGCGGTAGGGGCTGGAGTAGGGGCTGGAGTAGGGGCTGGAGTAGGTGCAGGTGTTGGGTCAGGGGTTGGCACGTGGATAATGTCGGGCAGGGGTTTGTCATGACAGGGATCGGTGTCCATCTCCGGGGCGCAGGTCTCCAGCGCCTCGTCGAACACCATAGGGTGACCACTTGTATCGTTGGCGCACTCGTAAAACACCGGACCGTATATATGGCCGGTGGGGTCGCCGCCAATTTGGTAGCACCAGTAGGCCGAGTGACAGTCGTATGGGTTACGATGCCAACCCACCTGACCGTTGCACCCGATATAAAACCGGTAATCTATTTTACACACATCGGAATAGTCGTTGAAGTACTCGTTGTAGGCGCACGTGAACTCCTGTAGCTCCAGCTCGTGGCAACTATAGTACCGGTGCGGGTCGTTGTCGTCCCTGTAGTCGCCCGCAATGGCCGGGCACTCATAATCGGGTTTGACTGTAGTGGTACTCAGTGTAATGGGCGTTGGTTTATGTGTTGAGGGAGTTGGCGGTGGGGGTTGAGTAGGGGGTGTGTCGTGGCAGCAGCCGTATGATGTGCATTGCTGTGTGCGTTTGCAAAAGTAATGTAAAGTAAACCTTACAATTGTTAGTAAGGTCATTTAATGATAATATGTTTGTAATCACCTTGCCGGCGCCACATTCAACGTTTGTAATGCGGTAGCGCTTTGTGTCCCTCGATGTTTTGCACTCTGTTATAGGACCGTGGTTAGTTTTTGCAATGTTTATTAAATAGCATTGATATTTTAAACGTATGTGGGTTTAATACAATACGTTACGTACGACTTTTGGCCTCATAGCAAATCACCTCGCACTCATTGCCAAATGGGCACTGTTTTCACAAAATAAATAACATTATTAATTTTATCAAATTAATATTGTATGTTTATCATGTATTAAATTGTTTCACTACTTGACGTGTTATATGCATTATGCATATTTATATTTGAATAACTATTATATTATCATTATTAAACAAATTACGAGTTTGTTTAAATAAATTAATCTAGTTTTTTAATAGTAATTAATAAATATTCATGTACTGTATACCTTGTCGTCAACTTCTAGGTTGGTTTGTCCCATAAGATTACATGCTTTTCGCCGCATAGCGGGTGTGATAGTAGACGGGGTGTCAAACAAATAGCCCACAAATGGTAGTAAAGCAAATACCGACTGTTCACATGTCGGTAATCTACTGTCCGGTATTATATTATCCTTAGTAAGTATAATATCATCGCAATTAACCACAGCACACGACCATGATAGTATTGCTACTACAGTATATATGATAATGTGTGACATGGGTGTTCACACTGACCTAGACACAGTTATTTAGAAATATTTATTTATTATTGAGTTAATATTTATTTGTATATTTATTGCTTGCTTTAACTGAATATATTTAATATGATATTTATTTCCCTCAGACTTACGTTAATGAAATTATATCTTAAGTGTGCTTGATTATTGTTATAATAGACAACCAGGATAGTTTATAAAAATCTTATAAAATTTAAATGCATACTTTATGATCTATATAAAAATATGGTTAATTTTTAAATTATATTAAATATTTAATTGCAAACAAATAAATAATAATTCATGAATTGAATTTAAAATATAACATTAAAATTATTTTATTTAAATTAATATTGCCCGAAATAGTCTTGGTGACTAAATGTGATACAAACAAAAGTATTGAGATTAGTGTTTATAATAGATAAATGCAATCAATAATTATGAATTGATGTGATTTAATAGAAACGGATATTCTTTGAGATTTATCTAAACAATTCACTGTCAATGCTATCAACGCTAGTATTAATGTTAAATAAATTAATTTTTATTGCAATTTCATGAAGGCTTTTATATGTAATATTATCTTGAGATCATACTTTATATTAATCAAAACTAATTACCTGCAATATCTTAAAAATATTAAAATTTTATTATAAAATATAATTTTTAAAGTAGTTTTTAACATAATTATATTGGTATACTTGATATACATGTTAATTTATTGATATGAACAATGAAAAATTATTTTTACTATTAAAGTCTACATTTTTAGGCTACAGAAATTATTTTTTAAAAATTTATTCCAAAATATTTACCAATAATTAACACATTTCAAAAATAAAATATAATAGTTTCTGATGCATAGGAATGTTAACTTAAATTATAAAATTATATTTGTTAAAATATCTCCACTAATTATATACGAATACTAACATATAATCAAATGAATTAATAATTTAATAGAAACTGTAACTCATTATTAATTATTATAAAATATATCACAATTGATAATGTTTATAGAGTATTGGTAACAAGCCTTGTCTCCCAACTGTAACAACATACTTTTTGTTAATTGATGTGCATTATTTTTTATTATTTATTAATTATTTTGTTAATAAATTGTTAAACTTACTTGTTAGATAAACATATTATAATAAGACAATAATAATAAAAATCAATTGAACAAGGGCATAATTCTTGCTTTAATTTAAGTTCTATTGTGTTATATTGTGCAACTTGTATTATTGCATTAATTGTTTAACATAATTACTGATAGTCAGACTGTCTATGTTTGGACGTAAAAGGACTTTCTAAATGGATATGAAATAGTCATGTTTACTCGTTATTAGTTATACCATTTGTATGACTATTTCATATACATTTAGAAAGTCCTTTTACGTCCAAACATAGACAGTCTGACTATCAGTAAACATAATGATTAATGTTTAATAAATAATTTTAATTATAAGTTATTTCGTAATATTTAATTGAATTTACTATTCATTCAAATAATTACTACTATCATTTATTTTTATTGTTGCTTAAATATATAGAAAGTTGTATAAATATAATTTGTATACAGTATTATTGTACTTTTAATAGTAAATTGCCTTACATTATTGATCATGATTTAAAGTTTAAATATACTTGAATTAAGTAACACCTAAACGCACTTTAGATAATGTATTTAAATCATAATTAGTTTATTACCTTAATATTAAATGTATAATTGCCCTTAATAATTATATTATTTAAATGAAAATCTATAATTAGAAAAATAAATAATTAAAATGCAATAAATCTACGCACATTTATGTATAAACTTATTATACCACCAAGGTTACATCATAATCATTATTAACAGTAGTAATAATAATAACATATAATAATAATTATTTATCAAATATTTTTATTTGTTTAAATACAAACAAAACTACAACATATAACACAATAACAATATGAACAAGATCAATATAAAAAACCCAATTACCTGACCATTTAATCACACCTGGTGCGAATACCTTACTTTATACCATAGGATTATTACCCCGATATTATTCTAATGTCATAACCAATCAAATACCTCCCAAACGGTATATCCTATCGCATCCAATATTTATTATTTGCATTCAATGTATGTTTGCATTTAAAACAATAATTACTCTATAGTTTGACCGCAAAAATCGAGAACTATTTATAATGTTTGGCGATTTTCCATACATAATGGGTAACTCATTTCAATTTAACCTGGCACTCTTCTGCTGGACATCTATCAACATCATTTTTAAAATAATTTTCACCGTCAAGAACTACAACAACCAGGGTAATAATCCATCATTTTTGCACTTGTTTCACATGCTTTCCGGACACATAAGCCCGGCATCGATTGGCATAACCGACCCATACCTGGCTTATAGGCTGGCAAAACGGGCCCGGCTATTATTCCGCATCTGCCACAAAGTTACAAAGCGCCAAATGCCATTTCTAGCATTTACCTGCTTGATGCCATATGTGTTAAAATGTACCCCGTACGAAATAATGGCTTATGGTGTACCACATAGTATTTTGACCGGGTTTAACGCGTTTTATGCCTACCGGTTCTCGCTGTGGCTTTTGGTGTACTGTTATTTGCTATGTTATTATTTAGGCCAAAAATTACATGCACTCAATGAGCAAATTGATCGTGTGACAAAATCCAACTCAAAATTAAACGGGGTGTTAATCACGGGTATAATACACTTGCTTACCGGTATATACCGTGAGATCGACGACTATAACAGCACTTATTTTAACAAATATTTGTCGGCCGTATGGGTTGCGTTGGGCGGTGTGGTTACCACCGGGATGTATGAGCTGATATTTGGTCAGCTCGATCCCATGACACATACCCTGATCACTTTTGGGGTACTAATGGTTGTGCAACAATTTGCATTTATTTTATACAACTCCGCGGCTGTCAATTACGAGTCAGATAAATCTTGTAAACTGTTTCACAATCTGACCGCTGGTAATGCTTGTTATGTTAGGGTTGCAAATATATTAAAGATTTTGAAAATTTAATAAATAAATAGTAAACTAACTCTCAATACATAATCGGTTTACATCCCAAGTCTGGGATTCAATCAAGATAAAAATTGTTACGATAGTTAAATGCAATTCCCTAATGCATAATGCATAATACAGTATTACACATTATTTAAATCAAAATTATATTAAAACTGCACGAAATTTCATCGGATTTAATGATTTAGAGTTATTAACAATTTTATTATTTTTGTTAAAATTCAGGTTTAAATTTACTTTAATTAAATCATCGAAATATAAAATCGCAAACGTAAACACAATAGAATTTTGATTAAATTTTTAATTAATAAAGTATATCTTTATAAAGACAACGTACAAATTAAACATTTATTCTATAAACTAAACTATCTCTACAATCATCAAATACCAAATAATCTTAACCATCGTATACATGGGTGAGGTCGGCAATCGGTGTTTAAGTGGGCTGTTGGCTTAGCTTAGAACATGTGGAGCTAATTGGCAAATCGCAAATCTTTTTGTTATCATTCCATTCGAGGCCCACCGGACATTCTTTAACCATGGGCAATCCACTCCCATCGGGCTCTACCAGGCATACAATAAAGTCGATACAATTGCCGGGGAAAGGGTAGAGACAATCTGTTGGTCCGCTGCAATTAGTGCGCGCGATGTCGTCCAGCGGGCAGACAAATGGTATTAGGGTTGGTATAGGGGTTGGCGCGCGGGTCGGACGGGTTGGCGTCGGTGTTGGCTTAGGACAGGTGGAGCTAACGGGCGAAACGCATATCTTGTTGTTATCATTCCATTCGAGACCCGCCGGACAGTCCATCACAATGGGTCGTCCGGTGACACCGCCGGCGTTGACCACGCATTGAATATATTGACTACAATTGCCGACGAATGGGTAGACACAGTCTGTGGCACCCATACAGTGTGTGCGAGCGATGTCCTCCGTGGGGCAGATAAATGGTTGGGGCGTTGGCTTAACGCATGTCGAGCTAACGGGCGAATCGCAATACTTTTCGTTATCATTCCACTCGAGTCCGGGCGGACAGTCTTTCACAGTTGGCCGTCCGGTCACTCCATCCGGATTGATCTCGCATGCAATAAATTTATCACATACGCCGGCCAATGGATAGAGACAGTCTTTTGGGCCCATACACTTAGTGCGCGCGATGTCGTCTATGGGACAGACAAATGGTGTTGGGGTTGGCTCAGGGGTTGGGACTGTTGTCGGGGCAGTGGATGGGACTGTTGTCGGGGCAGTGGATGGGACTGTTGTCGGTGAAGGGGTTGGCGCGGGTGTTGGGGTTGAAGGGGGAGTATATTCTTCGCAACAACCTTTATCTGAGCATCTCTGTAAAATTTTAAAATTCAAAATGCTATAATTTAATAATTATATTATTGTAATTCAATTAAATCACCTTGCCGACGCCGCACTCTGCGTTTATAATACGGAGTCTCGTTGTGCTTGTCGATGGAATGCATGTATCAGGTTTAACTTAGCATAGTTAATGTTAAAATATTATTAGGCTTTAAATTAAATGTTAAGTTAATAGAGTATATCATACGTACCTGTTCCGGACGTGAAGCAAATTACCATACAGTCATCGATGTATTTATCAATATCCTTGCACTCATAACCAAAACAACACTACAACAAATAAAACTGTATTAGTTTTATCACGCACATTAAATTTGATAAAATACAATTTTAATAGTATATTAATAATATATTATTGATAATATGTGCATTATAATAATTGCAATAATTTCCATCTGAACAACTATTTATGATCTTGATAACTTTTTATTTAGATAACATTTATAGCGTAGTACTTATAAATGTTTAATTTACTCTATTTATATTACAAGAATAATAATAAGAATAAATAATAATTTATTAATATTTATTGGGAATTATACAAAATAAATCCAATTACACCTTTTATTAATTGTCTTATAAACACCAATCAGTTTTTGTTGCCTAAAAATTTAGTCCTAAATAGCAAAATTAATTTAACAATTCTATCCACATTATAATTATCAAAGGACTCATATGAATTTTTCTGTGCAAGAAACACCTATCTCTTTAAACTGTAATGCATTTATTTTAATGCTTTACAATGCGTTATAGCTATTAAAATCTTAAGAGATAGATGTTTCTTGCACAGAGAAATTTATATACAGTCTAGCTAGACAAACTCCATTTTAGTCACCTTAGCCACCTGCCACCCCTTAAAAGCATGCACTACTAAGGTGCACTTTTATAATGAACTTTTCGTAAAAAGTGGATGAAGGTGACTAAAATGGAGAGTTTGTCTAGCTAGAATATACAGTATATCAAGTATACCAATATATAAAGTAAGTTTAAGAAATTATGAATTACTATTATAAAAACAAACATAAAAACAAAATAGCCGAACAATTGAATTAAAACATATGAATATACACAATACCTGGTCGGCCAGTGCTAGGTCAGGCACTCCCCAACGACTGCATGCCTCGCGTCTCATTGTTGGTGTGATTGTGTAATTGTCAATCATTTTCTCAACTAATGGTAATACAGAGAACTTAGCATTACATTTAGGTAAATGGTTGTCATAAATTATATCGTCTATTGTCAATAAACTATTGCCGCAAGTGACCAAATTAAATGACCATGATAGTACTGATATTAGTGTCACTACTTTGTATACTTCAATTTGTGACATAGTTTTTAGTTAATAAATTAATTATTTAAACAATTTTGTATTCAACAACTTCTATTTTGTATTAATTAAATATTAATTATAATATTTATAGTTTAACAGTGACTTAAATAATTTAATAAGGCATTAAATTATAATTACGTTAATAAAAATATATCTTAAGTGTACCTGATTATTTTATAATTTGTAACCAAGGTGGTTTCTTTAAAATGTTTTTTAGTTTTAAATAATTAATTATTTGCAATAGAAATTATATATTAAATAATGTATGAATAAAAGTTTACAACATAAATAATTAATATATGCTATTTGTATATTGTATTTAAATGTATGAATTTAAATAATATAATTTGGGGTGGCTATTTAACGTATAATAAATGGATAATATTGATAAATAAAGCAATCATTAATTATATACAGTCCAACTTCTTTTGGGTGAACTTCTCTTGGATGAACACCTCCTTTGAATGAACGGTTTTGAGATATATTTTGGGTTTTCTATACCTATAACAGAACCTCCCTTGGATGAACCCTCCCTATAATGAACACTTTTGTCGTGCAACTGGCCGTTCATTATAGAGAAGTTGGACTGTAATGTGTTGATTTATGTTTATTGATTAACAATGTAATCGTACGGTAAAACCAAACCAAACATTTCTTTAAATAGAGTTTTTTATATTTGAAGAAATAATTTTTTATTGTCTTTTTACAGACATTTTGAGGTCATTTAGTTTGTGAACGGATTTATTATTTGATAATTTAGTGAAAATTCTATTTTAAGCTTATTTTACAATTACATGCTATCATTTGGGTTTTCTATACCTATAACAGAACCTCCCTTGGATGAACCCTCCCTATAATGAACACTTTTGTCGTGCAACTGGCCGTTCATTATAGAGAAGTTGGACTGTATTTATTTCGCCATTCACCATTTAATCTCAATTCAATTTCTATGTAGCTGCAATTTTTAACCAATGTAAAATCAATGCCGAAAATGCAACTTACACAAATAGATTCCTACGGGAATTTAACATGTTTATTGATTATACACTATATATATAAACATAAATTACATTAATCGGTACCGATAGGCTGGCGCAGCGCAAAACAACACTAACACTACTGTAGATAGTTTTAATGGCTTTCTAATGTTTTGGCTTAAATTACATTGAATAATTTTTTTATCAAATATATACATCTATGTAAAAAACACTTCCTAAATACATGTGAATTATTAATATCAGGGATAATGTGCTTTTCGTTTGGCGCACTGTATAGTGTACTATGCGATGGAAAAACGTGTGTTTCGGTACATAATAGCAATCAATGTGTGTTTGATGTGTCAAAACAGTGTAAACACATTGAAATGGGAAAAGCAATTAAAAGGCCAGAAAAATACACAATTTCTATAGGAATTTGTATTGATTTTCTCGACGACTCAATAATATAGCCGTTAGAAGTCACGCGAATTGTGTCCCGGCTTATAGTCAACTAATTCATTTTATCTAGATTATCTACAGTAGATTATTTATAAATAATTTCTAAACATTTGTGCATATTTAAAAACTTAATATTAATATCTTGTTATTGTTATTATATACATTAGTTGTATTCAAATTGAAAGTTTCATTATGAAATGCCATTTAACATGGTCAATTATGCTTTTAAATTGTATATAATGTACATAATTTAATACAACAGCATTTTATTGGATGATTAATATAGATTAGCGACATTACTACGTGATCAATATATTTTTATATAAGTGCTCAACACTTAAAAATATAAATGACTTAACATTACTGGCCATTAAATGTTTAAAGAAAATAACACTAAAACACAATACAATGCAATACAAAAGTGATAAAAATTATTACGAATATAAATAATTTCCACAAATTTATATTAATTAAAAACATAAAGACTTTAATATTAATATTATTATTATTATTACTACTATTAATACAGCTGTCGAGCGAATTGGGAAAAAAGTGAAATCGATTTAATGGATAATGGATTTAGTGAATGAATGTGGTAAATATATTATACGTATACATATAACATATATATTCTGTGAGGGCATAGAAATATTCTTATATATCTATATGAAAGGGCACAGCTATACAGTGTAGATACTGTTGGCATATAAAGCAATGCAACAATAATTCATTGAAAAATATGAATTAAAGATTTTTGCGGAGATCACGACTGGTGTTCACAAACACATACACACATGTTGTGTATAATCTCGGTGTATGTGTACAGTGTGTATAGTGTACTGAATATAAGGGTTTTAGTTGTATATATAAATGTAAGACCACTGGACTTCTACAGTATGTATGTATGTGTTTGTGTACCGCCAGAAAATATGATGGCCTCACAAACTAATACACTATAATATTAAAGTAATTCACTGGAGATATACAATAAGATGAGTACACAACTGGTCTATAACTGTACACTCTATGTATGTGTGTCTATATATTGTATGTGAAGTTATGTTTGGATGAATTGAAAAGAAAATGAACATAGAGAGAGAGAGAGAGAGAGAGAGAGAGAGAGTCTGGAGAGAGAGGGAGTCTGGAGAGAGCAAAAGGAGAGAGATAGAAATGATGTGCAGGAGGTGTCAAATTAATAGTTAATAGCAATGAGATAATGGAAAACTTGCCACGAGTTTACTTAATGGATATATTTCTGGCTGTGATATAACTATCAGTTTATTTTATTTTTCTCTCTCACTCTCTCTCTCTCTCTCTATGTATGTGTTTTTGGGCCGAAAAACATATTGTGTCTCACAGTCTATATCTCGTTGTTTTTATTTGATTCGTTAACATTTAATATAAATCTAACACCATTTCAATTACAATTATTGCGGACATTCGCACATACAGTACACTGCGATAACCTCCGATAAAAGAAACTACATTATTGATTACCAACCAAGTTATTAATTACTAAATTCATTAATTATTTAGCCTTTTGAGCGTTTTTGCTGATTATTATTATGGTTACTAATATATACCGATTGTTGCATACAATAGTAAATTACATTACAGTATGTGCTTAAAAATTAAATTCTTATAATTTATATACGTACAAATAAATATATAAATTATAAATTATATATCTATAATTTGCACACAATAAACTAACAAAAAACTACCCTGGTGCATTCAGTGTGAGCTAAAAATATTGACCATTGTGTGCACATTATAGCCAATAAATTGATTACGATTCTCGCCACTGATAACTCGGCCAACACTTGATATATACGTAAGTGTTTATTAATATATACATCTATAGATATCAATATACATGTATAGATTATATATACAACATCTAAGTATATATCGCTGTATATATGATATAAGAAAAAAAGTTTGAGTTAAAGAGATATGAGATACGAGTGGAAGAAAAGAAGAGAAAATTTCATTCACAGCACACTATTGTATATTGATTACCAACCAAGTTATTAATTACTAAATTCATTAATTATTTAGCCTTTTGAGCGTTTTTGCTGATTATTATTATGGTTACTAATATATACCGATTGTTGCATACAATAGTAAATTACATTATAGAATGTGCTTAAAAATTAATTCCTTATAATTTATATAAGTTACGTACAAATAAATTATATATTATATATCTATAATTTGCACACAATAAACTAACAAAAAACTACCTCGGTGCATTCAGTATGAGCTAGAAATATTGACCATTGTGTGCACATTATAGCCAATAAATTGGTTACGATTCTCGCCACTGATAACTCGGGCAACACTTGATATATACGTAAGTGTTTATTAATATATACATCTATAGATATCAATATACATGTATACATTATATATACAACATCTAAGTATATATCGCTGTATATATGATATAAGAAAAAAAGTTTGAGTTAAAGAGATATGAGATACGAGTGGAAGAAAAGAAGAGAAAATTTCATTCACAGCACACTATTGTTTGGTATGAATTCAATTGGTATTCATTTCAGGCGATACCCAACAGAATCGGGCAAACAATATATGGATATTAGAGTAGAGTTTTTAGATATATTATAACGAAAAGCAACAAAAAATCAGTAATAAAGCAAAAGACGAGATGGAGGAGAGAGAGAGAGAGAGAGAGAGAGAGAGAGCGTAAGTAAAGAAAACTTATCGATCGATAAACAGGCAAAAATGTATTTTATTTTTTTCTCGTTTGTTATTTTCATATATATATAATAAACAAAACTTTAAGGCAAAGGAAATACGAGAGCGAAGAGTAATAGGATATGAAAACTGGAAAATCATTTATTTATCAATTGTTTTGTCAAACAGGGAGAGAGAGAGAAAGAGAGAGCATACGAGAGAGAGGCTGAGCGGAGATTATGTAAAATATATAAGACTTTTAGACACTTATTTATATAAACACAGTGATTTTCCTGCCGCGCTAATTTCGGCTTTTGTATTATTTAGGTAACTCTTTGTGTGCTTGCACACGAAGTTAATATATGAAGTATCTGTCAGTGTATATAATATACCATATATGTTATATACAATGGTATATATGCATATATATTATGTGTCTTATATATATTAAGACCTCTTTTCAGAATGCTTTAGGGGCTCCTTAAACAGAGAATTTTTCCCTACGTTAATATATTAACGTCAGTACTGAACTTAACAGTTAGGAAAATTATATATAGCATTGTGTCTCTTCTCTGTGCTCTCTCTCTCTCTCTCTCTCTCTCTCTCTCTCTCTCGCTAACGAAATCAAATCACTAATGAAAACGCTTAAAATGAAATTTATTATTCAAATTATTAATGTAAATATTCATTATATATACAGAATTGGTTTTATTCTCGGTTGTGACAAACTGAACACTATGTCAATTACAATTATTAAAGTCACGTATTCAGTATATATTCTTTATATACAATATATTCATGTACTGTATATATACTAAACGTATGCAATTTACATATTGACCGCACAGACAATGTTGTCGCTGTCGAGATTAGCTAGATCGTTTGTTTGGCACGATTGGCCACGTTGTGATTGTCTCTATTGTCACTCACTTTTATTCGCGGTTAATATGCGTTCAATTATTAATATTTTTATAAACCATTTTTCGGGAGCTATACTTATAAAACTAAATACCAGCACAATGTTAAGCTCCTGTATCTAACATCACGGTATGTCACTGTATGTATACAGCGCTGTATATTCTGTATATTCTTGTGATATATATGTCTATAAATATATGTATTGTATGCGACTTTCACCGTATAAATGCCGGTCCTTTTCAGACACAGGGATTATGTGTTAATATAAAAATAATGAACAGAATTGATAGCTAGCGCTGGTATTATATGAGATATATTATATATATTGTGTATTATTGTATAGCGAGATATAGTGTACAATACAATAGGCAGTTGAGATACATTTCACTTCACAGTGTATTAGTTGTAACACAAAAAATGCATTCAAGAAATCTCTTAACACAATCTTTAGGTTGCATTCAAACACATATCCAATATATTCACTGCATTTATATTATATATCGTATATATATTTATAGAAATATATGCAAAAATATAAAGTGAATTCATTTTTTACTACTCTTTTCTATTGTGATAAAAATGAAATCAAATGGAAATTCAATATCGAAAAGGCATGAGAGAGAGAGAGAGAGAGAGAGAGAGAGAGAGAGCATGGAAATCAAAGGCTCTCTCACTCTCCTTATTATACATTTTTCTTTGAGTAGATTTTAATAGAATTTATATTTTATATTTATTTTTTTCTGAATGTATTTTATGATCAAAATGTGCTTTCGATTAAAAAATACGAAAATAAGATTCAAATTTATTTTTAATAATTGAATCCATTTATCATTTATTTTAATACACCGTTTCGTAACATAAAAAGCGAGTCAAAGTTTATTATATACATTAAAATTAAAAAATAATTTTAAAAACATTATTTCAATCAAAAAACATAAACTCAAAAACACTAATCCCTGTACTATTTGACTGATTATCTCAACGAAATAGCGTACACACAGAATATTCCGGTTATATTTCACGCCAAAACAACAACATAAATACAGAAACTGGAAATGCATGAAAAATCATGAATATTCTTGAAAAATACGTGAACAACAAGACTATCGGTGCCATAAATATCTAGTGAAAAGCGAAGTCAATGCAGAGGCATAGGCAAGATTCTGGTGGTTTTATCGCATATATACATACAGTATATTCTGTGTGTATGTATACTATGCGATACAATGAGTGCATGACTACAACAACCAGTGCGAGAGAGCACAGCATCGATACAAATGAGTGAACAGTCGACGCAAAACAGCATCTAAAATGACATCCATTACTACTAAACTATAACAATGTCTGGCTTTACGACTCAAGAACTGAACACAACAACTATTTTCGCCGCTCTCTTCAAAATTATATATATCTATCTATCTATGTATGTATGCGCACAACACATCACTTCTCTCTCTCTCTCTCTCTCTCTCTCTCTCTCTCTCTCTTTCTCTCTCAGCATCTCTCCCTCCCGTATAACTCTTGCCTTAACATCACTGCAATATATTTCATTCGCTTTCTCTCTCTCACACTCTATTTTATCACAAAATACAGAGAGAGAGAGAGAGAGAGAGAGAGAGAGAGAGAGAGAGCAATTCATTCAGTAATTCAGTAATAAATTTAATAACGACTTTTATAAAAGATTTTTTATGAAATTTTTCTGATTTTTTCTGAAATCAAATTGAAATAAATTTTTCTCTGTATTAATAATAATTTACATTCGCTATTGTTTTGTAGCGTTTTGTTACAGCATTGAAATCTAGGGATTGAGAGAGAGAGAGAGAGAGAGAGAGAGAGAGAGAGAGCTGTTACAATTAAATGTATGATCAGAGGTAAGGTATGCCATGCATTGATAGGCAATCGTGTGTATAAAACAACTGCTATTTTTATGTCACTCTTATGTGATAAGAGAGATGTTTAGATAATAATGAAAACAATCAAATGAAATGTTATTATTGAAAACACAACACTTACTTCCTGTCAATCATTATTACAATTATTATTCATATTTTGTTATTTTGAGAACCAATTAGTCGTTTGTATAGGGATTTGGAGACAACAGGAGAGACATCGAGACAATTGAGTTATTCATAGCGTTTAAGACAGACATCGTTTAAGTGATAAATAAAGAGGGAGTCGGGGGAGGGGTTGACAGGTGTGGGCAATGGGATCGGGAAAATGATAACACAAAACCATTTAACATATGTTGTGATCACAAAAGCATTGATTAGTTGGACACAAGAAGAAGAAGAAGAAGTGATGAGAAACAGAGTTTACGTTAAAAATACAGATATAAACAACAAATATGTAAAGCTTATGGCCAGAGGATTGGCCACAACCCGTACGGTACGGATCGGTCATACCTTATCTGTCGGGGAAATAAGATAAATGGCTTCCATGTTGGGCAGCGGTTCCCGTTTTTTGCCAATATCTTCGACAATAGTGATGCCTTCGGCGGCGATTTCGTGCATTTTAGTGCACGAAGAGATCATTCGCATTCCCAACGGATCCACTATTAATACTTTCCACTCTCCCTTCTTGCGCGACGCCCGGACGACATCGTTGATGATCTCTGAAACACACCAAGACATGGATTCATTAGATTAATGGTTATATTGACAAATGGGTGTGGATTGAGATGTTGGCCATCGCTGGCCATATTGTCCACCTCTTCGGTCACTTACTTTGGCCGACAACCAGTTTGAGAGCCATTTTGGGCGTTGAATGCGATGAATGATTGTATGGTGTGTTGTCGCCTACTAACCCTTGGTTAACCACTAGTGTTTGGTGTGTTTACAGTTGTGTTCACTTGGGTTACATATAGAGTCTGTGACAAAACGAAAATGTTGTGAACACAGCGAGTGTCGGATAGTTATGTGGTCTCTATGAGTCACACCATTCACGCACACAAACACCCCTATTATGTACACCCCTTGTGACCACTTTGTGCCCACCCGTCCTATAGTGTACTAATTGACCACATTTACTATAATTAGGCAAATATAGCGTACATTATATATCGCATATTTCCTATTCTCGTTATAGCGAACACATTGTAAGTCGGCGTGTATTATATACCGCGCGTATACTGTATGCAGAGAGCCATTCATATATGAGGTACGGATGACGTCATAGGGTTTAAGGGGATTAAAGTGTAAAAGTGTTGTCGTATTGTATTGTATGTAGAGTGATTCGAACCATCTGGCGGAGCAAAATATGACTAAGATGCCCGCCATATGACCGCCATATGGCCGCCATATGGCTTTGTTTACATCACGTGGTATAGTGAATCACACAAGTAACGTAATTATATTGTCATATAAACAATTAATAATATAACGACGTAAGTTATGTTTTAGTTTATATGACTTTTGTCTTACTCTCTCTCTCTCTCAGCATCTTTCCCTCCCGTATAACTCTTGCCTTAACATCACTGCAATATATTTCATTCGCTTTCTCTCTCTCACACTCTATTTTATCACAAAATACAGAGAGAGAGAGAGAGAGAGAGAGAGAGAGAGAGAGCAATTCATTCAGTAATTCAGTAATAAATTTAATAACGACTTTTATAAAAGATTTTTTTATGAAATTTTTCTGATTTTTTTCTGAAATCAAATTGAAATAAATTTTTCTCTGTATTAATAATAATTTACATTCGCTATTGTTTTGTAGCGTTTTGTTACAGCATTGAAATCTAGAGATGGAAAGCGAAATAGAGAGAGAGAGAAAGAAAGAAAGAGAGAGAGAGAGAGAGAGAGAGAGAGAGAACATGGTTGAGAAATATTTGGCCAAATTTACCATAAAGAGTGAGAGAAATGGTTTTCAATGATTACTTAAATCAAGTTCTCGTCGAGAGATCGGAGAAGAAGGAGAAGACGTTGAAGAAGAAGAAGTGCTCTTCAAATGTCGACAATATTTATATCAATGATTGTTTGCGTTATTTAATTCAATTAGTCATTTGGTTAAGTATAGTATACTATAAATACATACATACATACAGTATATACACACATCTGTACATACAGTGCATCCCCTATTATGTGTACATTATTTTATGTTACTCTCACCAAAAAACAATATAAATATTTCTTAAAAATTGTTTTATAAATACATGTAAATTACAGATAAATATTAAATCAATTCATTAATCTAAATAAATATTAATTAATTTTCAAACGATTTTGTGAGTGTATTAAATTTGAAACTAGTAAATCTCATGTCACCAAGCATAAACTCTTGTGTCTAACTCTGTACGACCATAATTCACCGCAACTGATCATAAATCACAAAATTGTCGGACAATTTATATATATAGAGACAATTGTTTCAAACTCCAGATGATCAATGAATGCCAGCAAAATTGCCCAGTTTAATATCGGCAGCATTCACTGTATGTCCATACAGAATATTCTCTATATACTATACAATACATATTATATACACTAAAAATATATGTCAAATACACTATATGTTACTTTCAAAAATAATTCAATTACCAAACAATGCATGCGATTATTGCACTGGAAATACAGTGTATAACAAAATGACCCCGGAGTGAAAGTGGCCGGCCATCAAATCAAATCACACACAAACACATATGTTATTTGCTATTTTGAGGTGCCATTAACGATATTGCGTGTGTGTAGATTTAATTTAATAATAAATGTACATTGATGAACATAAACAGCGACCATATTGTAAGTGCACAGCAAATGTTCTAATTATAATTGTTTCCAAATATATACAGTACACATCTCTTACTGTAGTACATATGATAACGCTGTGCTTAAAACAATGATGCTCGGTTTTTATTTCACTGTAACTATTTATAGACATGTTACCAAAATTATTTTTCCATCATCGTGAGCTATTTTTTTATGTGTGTTTGGCGTTAAAACATTGTGTGTTTAGTATATTATATACACTGAAAATCGCAATTTTCACAATTGAAATGATATTGTTATTTGTGTTGCAATTGTGTGTAGCGTTTTGTTTGTCATATACTTTATATAGATATATACAGTATTTGTTATCAAATTTTCCAATGTTTAAGTATTGAAATTCATTGAATCGTGAATTGTGTGCGAAATAATAATAATACTATCGTTTTCTCAGAGAGAGAGAGAGAGAGAGAGAGAGAGAGATTTATAAATATAATAGTGTGTAATATAAAATAATTGCAAAAAACATTTACCATATATTATTTTTATATATAGTGAACGAAAATAAAAGATAAAAAACAAAAATGTAAAACTAATTGTAATTAAAATTAATTACCGGTCTCTCGCTATTTAGGGTAATAGAGGAGAGAGAGAGAGAGAGAGAGAGAGAGAGAGAGAGAAATCATTATTTATTTAACACTTATGTATATTAACCCAATATTTGATTTAAATCTTGAGTGATATCTATCTGTATTTAAAGTATCTCTAATGCAATGCTAAAAATCCATTCATAAAAATATCATATTATATGCGATAATTGTATTAAATTTTAATTTAATGTCTAGACATGTAATGAAAAACAATATTATTCATAGATTTATAACAAATATTTGACTATTTGATGAGTTTATTGTCTTACTTAAGACTTAATGGCGGCTTAAATATGGATTTAAAACAGATTAAAAATGATCGACAAAAAAGCTTTGGCTGCGAAATTTATTTACACATTATATTCAACTGATAGCTAATTATAAATAATTATCTCAAAGTTTGTTTATTATTAGATTAGGAATCACAGCGATAACTTTGCCCCAGGTTAAATAATTAAATTGTTTATGGTTCGTAATCGTTTTCAATTATATGCAAATTCAATTAATACCAAGATTTAAATAACAAACACAAATTCATTCAAGAAATGCTTGCCTACTATACTATGTTATATACAAAAAGCATTTATAACTATATATACATTAATACAATATATGTTAATAAGTGTTGTTTTCCATAAATTTCACGCCTAATGAATGCGACAAATATTGTGTTATAATATGAAACCAATTATGAATAAAACACAGAATATTCTGCGGACCCATTGAAATATGTGCACAGAATATAATAAATTCTATATAATTATATCAAATATCTTTCGGAATATCGTTATAACCGAGAATATTATGAAAAAATTGCATTTCTAAAGTTTCCATACGTGTAAAATAAATCATAGGGCAATGTTTGCATAAAAACAAAAAAACGCTAAAATAAAGCATAATTCATATACACATTGAAAGATAAAAAACAAAAATGTAAAACTAATTGTAATTAAAATTAATTACCGGTCTCTCGCTATTTAGGGTAATAGAGGAGAGAGAGAGAGAGAGAGAGAGAGAGAGAGAGAGATTTATAAATATAATAGTGTGTAATATAAAATAATTGCAAAAAACATTTACCATATATTATTTTTATATATAGTGAACGAAAACACTGGTGGGTAAGAAAGAAAACCTACTAATGACATGAATTTTGTACTATAAAATTTATATATGTATAAAAAATTTGTAAAAATACATCATTTACTATAGAAGTTGACATATCATTGAGAAACTCATTATTCACAACCGTCTCTGCTCTCTTTGCTCTCTTTTTTGCTCTCTCTCTCTCTCTCCCAAACACACAAAGTATGTGTATATAAGATGATGAGTCTCTGCCGTCAAATCGATATTTAGAGTGTGTTTTGTTGGGAAATAAGAGAGAGATAATAGGAGAGCAAAATGAGAGCAAAAAAATCTCATTCATTACCGTAGATATCATTGATTGCCAAAACTTGACAACACATCTAATTTTTAGACTTCTATCTTCTTGTTCTCTCTCTCTCTCTCTCTCGCATTAAATGAGTTGTTTTTGCACTTAAATTGCATTGTAAACGCCTAAACACATACACACACTCAATGACTCTGTGACAGAATATACAGAATATTCCTATAATTATATATAATTAAAACTGGCAATTGTTGACAAAACACACTTGATATACATGTATATCACAAATTCCTGTATCTCTATATATAATCTGCAGTAGTATATAATAGTATATATTGATTAGATTTTAAGTAAATGAGTATTAATTGCCTAACCAATAGACCCTAACAGCGCGAGTGTTGCCCCCAACCTCCCCGCCCGACTCATACCTACCCATACCTACCAACAACTACCCATACAATCAAACTCAAGTCAAATAATTAGTTAAAAATAAACAATTAATGAAATAAATTACACAGATTTATATTTACAATTTTTTTGGTTTATTTTTCAATTTTTTATAATTTTTTTGGGTTATTTTTTAAAATTTTATATTTTTATGTGTTTTTCAAAATTTTACAATTTTTTTGGTTATTTTTTGTTGCCGGTTTTACTATTTTTTTCGTTATTTTTTAAAATTTTTATAGATTAAATATGGTTGGTTAAATATGGTGATTAAATATGTTTGTGTGAATTATAAAATGGTTAAATATGTTTTGATAATATTATCATTAAAATATTGGTTATGAGTAAATAGTTTGATGAATTGATTATACGTCATGCCAGCACTACGTATTTTTATATAAGCAATACAATAGTGTCCACACGTTATGCATGTGAGGCATTGTAAATATTTTCGGTTATGGAAATGTGTTTTTGAGTTTGTGGCCAGAAAGTCAATGAATTCGTCATACGTTGGAGGTAAGCCGTATGAATCGAAATATTCGCCAACACCATCCTTATCGATAAAGATAG